GAGACTGAGAGAGCACAGAATTTTGGGATATGTAATTTAGGAAGACAAGGAGCCCTATGGCAGAGAACTCAAAAGGCCCTGTCCTTAACTACATTTCCAGAATTCTGCTCAGTATCAGAAAGCTCAATTAGAATAGGGAGTGATTTGTCCTTGCTTGCAATAATTTTTTGAATTGCAATAAATTTTTGAATCTACAAAGAGGAGGACTGACTGATACTTCAATACTAGTAAGTAAATCTGTTCTGGGCTGGGAAGAAATCCCTAAACTGAAATTTTATTGGTTAAAGACAGGGGTCCTCAAACTTTTTAAACAGAGGGCCAGGTCACATTCCCTCAAACTGTTGGAGGGCCGGATTATAATTTGAAAAAAAGATTAATTCCTATGCACACTGCACACATCTTATTTGTAGTGCAAAAAAAACCCCCAAAACTCCCACTTAAATAAAATACAGTAATAATTTTAACAAATATAAACTTATTAGTATTTCAATGGGAAGTGTGGGCCTGCTTTTGGCTGATGATAGGATTGTTGTTGTTGTTGTTGTTGTTGTGTGCTTTCAAGTCATTTCAGACTTAGGTTGACACTGAACGAGGGCTGGGTAAATGACCATGGAGGGCCGTATCCGGCCCTCGGGCCGTAGTTTGAGGACCCCTGGTTAAAGACAATCAAAAACTTTTTTGTCAATTTTTTTAAAAAAAATTCCCCAAAATCAGTAGAATGTATGAATATTTCTGAAACTTGGGAGGAATGAGTCCCTATTATCTTATGTCATTGTATAGAAAATTCAAGGAGATAGCTCTTGTCGTTTTATTTAAAAAATGTTTATAAAAACTTTGAAAATTCCCCAAAAATCCATGGATGAGTGAAACATTCTGAAACTCGATGGGCTAACAGTGGTAAATGTGTTCTATAATCGTAACAAGTTTCATAGAATCATATAATCAAAGAGTTGGAAGAGACCTCATGGGCCATCCAGTCCAACCCCATTCTGCCAAGAAGCAGGAATATTGCATTCAAATCACCTCTGACAGATGGCCATCCAGCCTTTGCTTAAAAGCTTCCAAAGAAGGAGCCTCCACAACACTCCGAGGCAGAGAGTTCCACTGCTGAACGGCTCTCACAGTCAGGAAGTTCTTCCTCATGTTCAGATGGAATCTCCTCTCTTGTAGTTTGAAGCCATTGTTCCGCATCCTCATCTCCAGGGAAGCAGAAAACAAGCTTGCTCCCTCCTCCCTGTGGCTTCCTCTCACATATTTATACATGGCTATCATATCTCCTCTCAGCCTTCTCTTCTTCAGGCTAAACATGCCCAGCTCCTTAAGCCGCTCCTCATAGGGCTTGTTCTTTAGACCCTTGATCATTTTAGTCGCCCTCCTCTGGACACATTCCAGCTTGTCAATATCTCTCTTGAATTGTGGTGCCCAGAATTGGACACAATATTCCAGGTGTGGTCTAACCAAAGTGGAATAGAAGGGTAGCATGCCAGTAGATCTAAGAATAGGGGAGAAACGAGCCCCTGAAGTTTCTCCATTGGCACAGTTACTTAACTAAACGTAACGAAAAAGTAGTTAACTCATTATACTTACAATACAGATCCCATCCAATTTCAGAAACACTCTAGAAACGATTCCCCCCACCCGCTAATTTTGTAATGAGTACTGAAACATTTTTTTCATTGATCGCACAGGTCTAACATCTGCATAGACTTTTATAACACTTTCAGTGCTGTTTTGAACTTACACCGGCTTCCAGAAACAGATTACTCTTCAAGACAACCCTTGCTCACAGGAAACAAATCTATTTTATTTTATTTTTATGGTACGAAGAGCTTGAATTGTTTCCTTATGCTTGAGATCCTTCCTTGAAGAGTCCTTGAAAATCATGTTCCACTCTAAATCTTGGGATAAGTTCTCTAAAAAGCAGCTGCAGGTAGTTTGTAAGTTGAAAAGTATCTGTCCTGTTCTTGTGAAAACATTGTCACCTTCCTAGTATCTGAGTTGTTGTACAGACGTGTTAAAGCACGCACGCTTGTTCGGTCAGACCTCCCGGACACAGCGAACACAGTACAGTCTTATCTGTATGCTGCAAGCAGCTCCTTCTGTTGGCACGCTGCCGACAGCCACAGCTCCAAAACAGAATCCTGCTAGAAACAATTGAGTCTTGTCACAGAGCTTGAAATGTGCAAGCGTTTGGTATATTTCTTTAGGAAAATACGTGTGTGTGTGTTGCTGGGTGCATATTTTAAGAGCGGCTGCTGTAATTTGAAGTGGTCCCTTGTTCCTCATGATTATCATCAGCAATATCACAAAAAAGATTTCTGCATAAAAGCAGGCCAGTTACAAGCTGGCTCTTTCATGGCCCACAAGCTGATTTCTGAACAAACTAAGATGCTGCTCCCGCCAGTCTCTAGATTATGTATGCATTTGATCTGGAATATTTCAGGCACTGTGCTTTCTTCACTTTTCCTGAATCTCTCACCATTAGAAGTGGATGTTGCCTGAAATAGCTCTTTCATTCTGACCCAGATGTTTTCTGGGTTTGATTTAATACTGAGTTTGTACATGTGTCTTCAAGTCACCTGTTGATTTATGGGGACCTCATGAATTCCATTGGGTTTTCTTAGGCAGGTAATAATCAGAGGTGGTTTTGCCAGTTCCTTCCTCATAGAATCATAGAGTTGGAAGAGACCTCCTGGGCCATCCAGTCCAACCTCCTGCCAAGAAGCAGGAATATTGCATTCAAAGCACCCCTGAGAGATGACCATCCAGCCTCTGTTTAAAAGCTTCCAAAGAAGGAGCCTCCACCACACTCTGGGGCAGAGAGTTCCACTGCTGAACAGCTCTCACCGTTCCTAATGTTCAGGTGGAATATCATTTCCTGTAGTTTGAAGCCATTGTCCCGCATCCTAGTTTCAGGGCAGCAGAAAACAAGCTTGCTCCCTCCTCCCTATGACTTCCTCTCATGTATTTATACATGACTGTCATGTCTCCTCTCTTCTTCAGGCTAAACATGCCCAGCTCTTTAAGCCACTCCTCATAGAGCTTGTTCTCCAGACCCTTGATCATTTTATTCATCCTCCTCTGAACACATTCCAGCTTGTCAACAGATCTTGCTCTTTTCCTAAAGTTGCACTTGATTGCACCTAATTATACCAAAATATGCATTCAAATACACATTTTGACAGAAAATGTAAATGCCAATAATATTAGGAGATTATTTAAAAGAAAGATTGAAAGTATAAAAATTAAACTGCCCAGAAATGGGTTGATCAATCCCAAACATTATTTCCTTATACCTAAAATCTTTCCTTGAAAATCATGCTCCACTTTAAATTTTGGGATAAGTTCTCTACAAAGCAGCTGCTGGTAGCTTGTAAGTTGAAAAGTATCTGTCCTGTTCTTGTGAAAACATTGTCACCTTCCTAGTATCTGAGTTGTTGTACAGACGTGTTAAAGCACGTCATGCTTGTTTGGTCAGGATTTTTCCTGTGTGACCCTGGTAAAGTGGAAATTATTGGTGTGTTTCCCCTTTATACACAACTTCTATAATTCAGAAGATCTCTAGGCCACTTGGGAAAAGCCCACGGGGCATTTTCTTGCACCAGTTTCGTAATGTCAAAGCTTAAACTAATTTCTGACTCAAAAGTTATATTTCTAATAGCATCCTTTTTACCTAGCAAGAGTTGGTGTCCGCTCTGAGTCCTAATAGCGGAAATAGTTTTCAGTGTTGTGTGCTACACTTGATGGTATTTCAAGCTCTGCTCCTGTTTTCCATAGCTTTAGCCAAGTCGGTTTCCTGACTTTGTCATTCACCAGTCTCCCCATCCTCACCCCAAACCATTTCCTGGCCATGGCGGCAGCAGCACATTAAAATAAAGGAGAAGAAATCCTTCATAGCAGCAATGAATGTTTGCTAGTGCACTCCACCCTGCAATTAGTCTTTTGGATACAGTTAGATGGTCATAGTCCATATGCCATCGTACAATTCTCCAGACATTTTTCTGACTGTAAAGAGAATCTAGTTTCCCTAGTTGAGCTGATATCTGAACTTCATGTTTGCATTCAACTCTGTTGTCATTCTGAGCAAGTTTCACGCTAACTCGGAATTAAACATATGCGTATGGGTGTGTGGAGTTGTGAAAATATAGTGGAATTAATGCACATGCAAGATCATCCCCACAATAACCCCTCAAGACATGCACTCCAGTAGAGCCACTTATTTACTGCGTGACTGGGTGTATTTGAGGGGAGAGTTGAGGAAATATAGTAAAATTAACATCCATGTAGGTATTCTCCACAACTTCCTTTCAACATAGGCATTACCATATTATCCACACCCATATGTGTATGCGTGTATGTGTGTGCATACACTACATCTCCCCCAAAGAAAGAAGGAGACAAAGAGCGAGGGAAGGTTGGCTACAGCAACGTGTGGTGGGTACAGCTAGTTATTATTATAAAATAATACTACAGTGTTTCTCAACCTGGGGGTCGGGACCCCTGGAGGGGTCGCGAGGGGGAGTCAGAGGGGTCACCGAAGACCACCAGAAAATACAGTATTTTGTTGGTCATGGAGGTTCTGTGTGGGAAGTTTGATTCAGTTCCATTGTTGGTGGAGTTCAGAATGCTCTTCTGCAAAAGTAATGCCTATCTACACTACGGAATTAAATTGATTTACTCTAGCTCAAGAGTAAGAATTTGAGCTCTCTAGTAGGGAGCATGAAGTATTTCATCAAACTACAAATTTCAGAATTCCTTGGTTGGAGTCATGACCATTAAACAGCTATCAAACTGGTACGCATAGTGCAAATGCACCTAAGACTCCTGCCAGCCCTGAGGAGTCATTCTGGTAAACTAGCCCTCTAGATCTACCATATATCCTGGGGTTGTGGGATTGTTGGTTTTTTGGTATTTGTTGGAAAGTTTCCATTTAACCAATTGACTCCGTATAATGGTGAAAGGAGTTGTACCAATTCTTCCTCTTCTGGTTTTTATTGTAGATCCTGATGTCCGAACTTCTCTTCCTTCCGTCCGCACTTTCTTGTCCTAAGGCTGTTTTCGGTGAAGAGCTTTGACATCTGTAGAAGCAGCTGGAAGTGAGGGTGAGCCAATACTGCATGATAAAAAAGATCTCCATAGAAAACCAGTGGGCTGTGATAATTTCATCTTAGTGGGTGGGCTTCTGTTCTATGTGATTTGGGAACATCCTGTGTTGCACTTTCTTTTTTGTAAATGTAAAAAACTAAAAAGATATTTCTGCCTATTTAGGTCAGATTAAATGGGCAAGATATGAAAAGTTTTGGAGTTAAATCAGCAAATTAACACAGTTGATTTACGCTAGCCATTTGCAGATGTGGTCCTCTGTATCCATGGATTCAGTCATCCACAGTTTGAAAACTTTTTTAAAAATTCCTAAAGCAAACCTAGATTTTTGCATTTTATGTAAGGAATTCTATTTCACCACACATTGCATCTAAATGGGATGGATTCTGGTATCAGAGTGGGTTTCTGGAACCAAAATCAAGTGGATACCACTGTGTAATTCTATGTTGGAAATATACAGTCAGGCTGTTTAACATTGAAAGCACTTCAGTTGTTCACATTTAAGGTTTGTTTTGTGAACCTGATATAGGCTTTATAAAAATTAAATTACTGTGATGTCCTTACAACTTATATTGGTTTAATATAGACTAAGCTATTGGTTTTTTCCCCCTGTTATTCTACATAGGCCAGCTGCAATTTTTGGTGTCCATTCATTCTATGCTAGCCATCCTCTGCCATGCGTTGCTGTGGCCCAATCTGTGTATATGTG